GGACTAGGAAGTGCGTCTCCTAGGATTGGTGGTTCAAATTAGGAAGTGCGTCTCCCATTGGAATGACTCAAACTAGGAAGTGTATCTTCTACAAGTGAGGTTGAAGGGCTTGGACTAGGAAGTGCGTCTCCTAGGATTGGTGGTTCAAATTAGGAAGTGCGTCTCCCATTGGAATGACTCAAACTAGGAAGTGTATCTTCTACAAGTGAGGTTGAAGGGCTTGGACTAGGAAGTGCGTCTCCTAGGATTGATGGTTTAGAGTAGGAAGTACATCTCATATTGGAATGACTCAAACTAGGAAGTACGTCTCCTACGAGTGAGGTTGAAAGACTTGGAGGGAATGTAGCCAGGGGTTGGCGCCCTGTATCAATGAGAAAGAATGTAACCAGGGGGTTGGTGCCCTGAATCACTAAGAAAGAATATAACCAGGGGTTGGCGCCTTGTATTACTAAGAGGGAATATTATCAAGGGTTGACGCCCTGTATCAGTGAGAAGGAATGTAACCAGGGGTTGACACCCTGTATTACTAAGAGAGAATATGGCTAGGGATTGGAACCATGTATCGCTGAGAAAATGTAACCAAGGGATGGCGCCTTGTATCACTTAGAGAGAAAGTAACCAGGGGATAGTATACTTTGTATTAAAGTGGAACCTCACTAAGGATTAGTATACCTTAGGTTGAAAAATACAATTAGGGATTGGTGTACCCTATACTAAATATGCAACTAGGGAGTGGTGTGCCCTATGTCAAAATGGAACCTCAACTAAGGATTGTGTTACCTTATGCTGGAAAATGCAATGGTTGATGATGTGATTATAGGCATATCTAGAAAGAAAAAGCAGAGACTTTGAAGAACTTACCTTTGGTGACATTCATCCTTTGAGAACTTTACTTCTACACTACTTTGTTTCCTGCTTCAAACAAAGAAAGCTAGGGCATGACTTCAATTGCAATTGAACTAAGTATTCAAACGAACTAAACTAAAACTAACCGATTAATAAGAACTAACAGTGGGCGATTGAAATCAGGAAACATTGCCCAAAACAGAACTTAAATGACCATTGGTAAGCTATCGAACAATGATTAAAAGCAACTAAATAAACGGCTAACTAAATAAACCATTCAACTAATTCTTTTGAATTTTGCACAGAACTAGAATAACACATTTATTATAGACTAACAACCAATCAAAATAGAGAAACTTAAACTAAATTCAAAACCAAATGGGAAAATATAAACTAAGAAAATGAGGGAATGGATGTTATACCAAACGAGCATTCTTGAAACTATCCATGAATCTCAGGGACGATGCGAGCAGTAACAAACGATGATGAGCGACCTTCGAACGAATTTTTCTAGGTGGCAAACGTTAGGACACCAATTCGGGGAAGCCGAATAGTGATTTCAACATCATGTCGCCTAGAAAGAGCCGTTCCCAGGTCGTATCTAGGCAAAAATAGCGGCTCAGTGTGCTTGGTGATGGTGAGGCAGTGGAGTGGCAGTGAGAGCGGGTCAGCGGCAGCGGGTGTGGCTGGCCTGTGGTAGTGCCCTTTTTTTGGGGG